AAAAAAGAGTAAAAAGTTCAAAAGTTGAGCATAAGAATGGTGTAAAAAGTAAAGTGTTCATAATATGACTTACATAGGTAGGGATGGCTTTGGTGATAGTGGATTAATTATTTTGCATTTTACTTTGCACCTGTATTTGGGTTTCGGGAAGGTGTGAGGGGATTAACCAGGAGTGCCTGTGATAGTTTGATTGTGTGGGTATTGTCTCCTGGTCTCCTTAGTGCTGCTTTCCCACTAACTTTGTGGGTCTTGACCTGTCTCAAGTTGCTTTTAAGTCAAGCTTGAATCATTAAACCACAGGGACAAGAACTCAGTCACTGATGCTTGAGATGAGCTTGCTGTGTTCTGCCATTTGTTTTCTTTTCTTCAGTGGTGTTGGCTCACATGAGGAGATCTGAAGCTCTCTGGGTTTTCTGTGCTGTTTTGTGCAGAGAGCAGTTTTCCTTGTGGAAACAGAATGAAGTCTCTCCAGCCTGCTATCTGTAACATCAGTCTCTGTGACTTTGAGCCTATGCTTCGCTATGTGCTTTCTAACGGAGTGCCCAAGGGATAGTCTCTGACAGCTGCAGCAGAAGCAGTGTGGTTATTATTTAAGGTAGGCAGAAAAGATTCTGTCCACCCACTACTTAATTTTCTGCTCTGATTGTGTGTGTTGCATTCAGAGCCGAAAGTTTTGGATCAAGTGTTTTAAGCTCTAAGTAGACAATGGGTGGCATTCGCTTTATTTTTGCATGCTACCTAAAGGAGCGTCTTGCTGGCTGTCTTCACTCAGAGGTTTATTTCTGTAAACTAGTCAACATCTGGCAAATGTTGCCAGTGTTCTTGTTTTAAGCCTGAGCTTCTAAAACATCTTTCCTTCCAAGTATTAGAAGTTGCTTTTTAAAGATTTTTCAACTGCAGATATACTCTTTAAAATTCTGATAATCCTGAAGATGTTGGTTAATTGGTGGTGGTGGTTGTTTTGGTATTGAAAAGTGATGTCAGGATTTGATCTTTAAGAGTGCCCTGAAACCCAGTTGGAACTCAGCTACTTAACTTGACCAAATTAAGTACACAATTTCTATAGAAAATATATATATTTTTATGTATATATTTATATAGAAAATAGCTATATGTAGGTCACTAAACGTGTGGTTGTGGTTTATCCTTTAGCTTCATGAAGCTGTCAGAGGGGATGTAGTCACAACTGCTGTTCCTTTTGGTGGAGAAAGTGGCTAAAAGTGGTACATAGTCTTGAAATTCTCAGATTAACTTTTTTCTTTTTTCCTTTTCCTATAAGATAATGGTTACTAAGTTGAAAAACTAAATAAAGTATTTCCTGGCAATGAATCTGACCTATCCTCTGCTTCCCTCCATCCCCACAAACTGGGGAAGGCCCAGGGATTTCATGCTGCTCACACACTAACTCTCACTATTTAAGCTGCCAGCGTGCTCTGCAGACATCTATTTACACATTTTTCAGGGATATTAGAACAGAAATGGTCTAGAGCCTAATCCTAAAAAATACTTTGTATTACCTGTATTTTTGCTTTACATGGGTTATTTATCCCATTGCCACTTGCACCTAGCAGTCCCCATAGTATTTTGAATAACCAAGAAGACTGTGGATACTGGATATGTCTAATTATAGGTGTTTGAGAGCATAACATTCCTGGTAGTAAAAATAATGATCTCTGATTAATGCATTGGCACTCATCTCTGCCTTCTGAGTTAGCGTTTTCTTCAGCCACAAGTACAGCTGATGCTTTGCAATGATGAGTGACAGTAAAATTTGTAAACAACAAGGTTATGATAAAAGCCCTCTGAATTCAACAGGACCTTAGTATGCTAGTATCTGCTGGTAAATGCCACTTTCTAAACAGATAATAATAAAAAATAGATTTTTAAGAGCTAAAACCTTTTGTGGAAGTATGTTGGGATGGTTATACAGAATGATATGGGCATAGGGTATTATATGTAATAATTGCATGTTTAGAATGCTTTTTAATATACTTGATGGCAACAGATGTGTTCAGAAAAGCTGTATGTTCATGAATGCTTTTTGTATCTTTATAAAGTAAATTTGGTATGTGAAAATGTGGAGCTGGTATTTGAATGTTCAAACTGTTGCATTGGAAATTTCTGTTCTGTAGTCACACACAGAATGTGGTATCTGTCTTGCAGTGAAAACACTGAGTAAAGCTGAGTCAATGCAGTGGAAAAATTGCATTCCAACCCGCTGGAACAAAATAAGCCCCTTCCAAACTACTAGCAATATGGTCTAGGGATGGGGGAAGCTCAGGAAGTGTAGCATTTGTGTTTAAAAAAACAACCAAACACCACCACCCTCCAAGTCACCCCCCCCAAAACCCATGACGTGAAGGCTTCTTTTACCCATCCTGTACACTGTTATCCAAGCATAATTAAGTGGCCAGCTTTCACAATGATGTGGATTTTGTGACCCTTACAGTTTTAGATTGCCAGTTATCCCAACTTTTATCCCCAACAGTCTCTTGGGGTTTTTGGGTGTGCTTTGTATGTGGTGGCTTTCTACATGTGCTGTCTGCTCTCTGCCGCTGTCTTTACTAAAAGAATCCTGGGAAGTTGAATGGGCCGTGTATTTTGACCTAAGCAGCTACACCAAGCATCTCCCCAGTGGATTTTGGGCTCTTGCCTTTTCAAAACTTCTTGGGGGAGTGGGGAAGGAGTCTCCCTACAGGGCTGCCTGGTTCTGCATTGCGTTAGTACCAGTCCATACTCATACTGTGAGGTAGAGCCCTTTGAGCTTCTGCTACAGCTAACTGGAAATTACTTTGGTTTGAGTGTTTTTTCCCCTCTCAAAGGTCAGGTGCACGTTGCAGACAGCACTGATTCATTGAAAGTCAAAGGATGTAGCTATCTAGACAGTATTTTTGATTTCCTAAGTATTCAGAGCGGTGTGTTAAAGCTCTCTTTTCTTATTGCTTGATGTAACGGTGCATGGTGAAGTTAGTCACCTTTTATTGTGTTTATATAGCTTCTTTCCCTTAATTGCTATGACAAATTCATTTGCAAAACCTCTGAGGTGGCTTGTTGACTTCTTACATGGAAGAAAGGTGGCCTTTCTGACCAAGCCCTAAAAGCAATCAAAGTCCACAAAATCTTGAGTATTATTAGTGTCAAAGCCTGCTCTTTACTTGCCATAAAATTCTGTCCTGTAATTCTGTGCTTTAGCTAAATAGGTCACTAGATAAGATTGACAACGGCATCAGCAATGAAAGGTTTTAAACCGGAAACTGGAGAGGAAAACGGAGCAATTTCTTTCAAGAGAAATTACACTGCTATTTGTTATTGTTGCAGTTAAAGAGCTGTCAGGGATTCCAGTTTAAAATCTTGTTTTCCAGAACAGTAAAACCAGGTATTTCAAGGCAGAACTTATAATGCAAAGAATGCAAAGGTCAGTCATAATTCCTCATTGCTCTGGGAAAAGCAGGAAAACATTAGTGGTGGGTTGTCTTGCTAGTGTCTCCAAAATGGAGAAACTGGTCAAGCCAGAGTACACTGGTGTGCTGACATTGCTAATTCTTTCTGAACTGGGTAACCGATGTATACTCATTGAACACCCCTGGTCTCACAGCTGCATCTAAGAAGTGCTATGTCAGAGTCATTTAAAAAAAACAAAACACTTTATTACAGGTTTAGAAGAAGCTTCAGAAATACCTTGAAAAATCCTCTTTGAAGAATGTGAAATTTCAACAAAATGCTATTGAGAAAGAGGATAGCACAATATTTCTTTCTGTTAACTATTCAACTGGCTTTGAAGGTGAAAATTACAAAATACTGATACTTTCTAGCGTATTTTTTTGTGTATTAGCTATATGAGGTAGAATATAAGGTTAAGTTATCACTGTGATGGCTGTTATTCAGAAGTGCCAAAGCTTTGATAGAGATGTTCAGATTCAAGTATCTCTTGGGGAATTTTAGTTCATTGTTGGCTGGTAAAATTGGACTCTTACAGATCTTTCCACTGCTTGCTAGAGGCGGTCTCAAAGTCTTTATTGGCAAACATTTGAGTATCTCTCTAACAATTAAAAATGCACATGGGCAGCATAAAAGTGAGAATTTTGAGATGTGCTGTGTTTGCAAGGGTTAATTCGTATTCGATTTAAGGTTGGGGTTTTTTTTTCCCTGCTTGTACTATTTTGCCATGCTCATCATGTCATGACAGTCTGTCAGCTCAGGAATTGCAGTGTTTGTAAGGGCTGGTGTTGTGGGCAGAATGAAGGGAACAAGCAAGAAACAGGGAGGATACAGAAGAGATTGTAGCAGTGAGAGTCATGCATTCAGCTTCTCCAGTGATCTAAATTTATCTTGTTTGTCCTTGTGTGTTTCTGATGGAAAAATTGGGAATGAAGGTGAGAAACACAAACTTATGCTGAAGTTCTTTTTTTCTTTTTTGAAGCTATGACTGCAGTGCATGCCCCTCATATGAAAATCACTGTGAAAACTGAAAGCATCTGCAAAACCTGGTTTGTCTTTACCCTTCCATTGCAATAGCTATTATAGAATGTGTCATGG